CTGTGGAAGGTAAAGATAATCAGATGAGAAGGGGGGAAATAATCAGTTTTACTTGACAGTTGACATAGCGCTAATTCAGTATTTCTCAACAGTTTGAAAGGCATTGCCTATATATTAAGCAAACATAATATGAAGGATGCAGTGTTTCAGTTGAGGGAAACATCCAAACTGAATATGCTCACCATGGTGCATAAAACTCTACCAAAACATTCTTTTTCTCATTCAGGACAATCTCATCGAAGTTTTCAGCAGTTAACACTACAACATTTGACGGGGTTGCAGCAACCTTAACATTTGTTCCTGGACATAATAGAAACTTTATTGAGAACTGTGAATCTAAAAGCGTTCACTGCAAGTCTGCAACATAAGAGTAACTTAGGGCATTTTATTGTTTACTACAATATAATCATGTAGAACAAGATGAGAATAACTTTGTTTATACAACTATCAAGTGTAAGAAATAAGTGCATTGTACCAGCACAGTGAAATGCATCCACTTATGAAATACCAATTACATTTGAAGTAACCCATACAGTATTAAACAAGTCAATGGAGTTCAGATACAAGCTTTAATGCAAAACTTCTTCACAAAAACAATATTGTTTAAAGTGAATGGATTGATTTTCTAATTATTGCATTAAATAGTAACTAATTTCAAATGCAAAAGGAAATTACCCGCTTCACTGTTAACAAACTCTACAAGTGCCTCTATCGTTCGTGAACCTTCATACCTATGAAACAATAGATGCTGAATTTCAATATTTCAAAGGAGAAATGTACAAGAAAAGCATTCAAATATTACTAACAGGAAAGTAACCACATGCTAACACTCACTTCTTTGGCTCGAGAGACCCCTTAGGGAACCACTGAATTGTTGGGTACCCAGACACACCATATTTGCTACAAAGAGTCTTGTGTTCATCACAGTCCACCTATAACATTAATTATAAACTTTCAAATCATCTTACTTTTAATAAAACGGTAAACATTTAGCCTGCCTAGTAAGCGTTAAGTGAAGCAACAAACAAAAATATATGCTGCCATAGTTAAATGACTCAAATTATCAATAGTCATAAGTCATAACTAGTACTCCATGTTAAATTGTTATTATGCTGCAGAAAACAGGAATAGAGCTCAAAGTTTCATCCCAGTAAAAATACTGACCTTTGCGATTAAAGTGGACTTCGATTTCTTGAAACTTGCACCAAGCTTTTCGTATTCTGGAGCTAGCTTTTTACAGTGTCCACACCTGACAGCATATTTAAAAAGAATGAATCAGAGGATTAATACACAGGATATTCATCATATTGGTGGATTAATGGTTTCTATTACGGAGTACTTTATAATCTAGTTACTGCTTGTGGAGAAATACTTGGTAGTATTAATTAATTATTGGTTGTTTGAACGTGTAAAAGGACATACGCCAGTTTTCTTACATTACCTATTTATAAGGAGGAAGTGGTAATTAGCTACTAGCTATTTCAGTGTAAATAAAATAAAAAAGTTGTGCAAAATTTCATTATTCTTGAAGCATACTAGTATTACATTATTACTGATAATTGTTTATTCATGTAGTCTATTATTGTTGACAGTTGTTTTCCTCTGTATTTTATCAGAGCCATGCAAACTATGTTTTGCACTTTTGCCTTAACACTAATGAATAAAACCTAAATTTTTAAATTACTTTTGACTTTTCAATTCAAACAAATTTTATAACATTCACTTCTAACTTCTAATAATGTTAGCACAACATTGAAAAAGTATGTCACTCTCATTAATATTAATGTATCTAAGGGCATTGGCTGGATTTGGGGATGTTGAAGCAGAAACTATATACTATGTATGAATGAACAGACTTTAAAGTTTAAACATCGAAAAGCTGAAATGGTAACAGGCAAACATAAAATTACTTTAAAGGTCATTTTGTTTTATATGCAACAGGTTTTTAATATAAACTAGTAAACTAACCCTAACTTTGATACAAGAGATCTACAAATTGTTCAATCGAAAAGCTACAATCCTAGCTTCCTAACTCAACTATTTTTCCTCAGCTTGCGGCCATTTCAGCCCATCACCAAAGATTCCAAGCGAGACTAAATCAATGGGAATTGACTAGGATTTAAACATTCCAACCCAAAATGGCTGAACTTTTCCTACGAAAGAGAAGCATCACAGTTTTTTAAACAGCTGCTTCTTTCAAATGATGTAATAAATTATTTGAATAGAACAAATAATTATATTTTTTTTGCGAGGTATAATTATATTTTTTCAATCCAGATGATGTACGAACTTTAAGATGATCAAAAGATTTTTTTTCCTTTTCGCTTAATTTCAAATTGGGTTTTATAACTTACACTATCTGATCTAAAAAGCTCTTCACACAAATCATGATAATTTGTCCAACATGTAATCTGGACTGAAAATGCCAACATAGCAACGAACTCATTTGAAGAATTCCCAGAGTCTAACTGTTCAGTGTTCATTAAATGAAAAATAGCATTTTTGTTGGCATTGGTCCTAGAAAAAATATGGAGTTCATATACACTTGAAGAAAAAACAGTTTTTACAATACAACTTATGGAGGAAAACAATCTTTGATCAATCAATTGAACATGTTATAAAACCCTTCCTTGTGCAGATCATGCAGCTTAGAATTTTGGATCTAAACCTACCAGTTTCATTAATCATAAATAAGTCAGAAATGCTCAGACCTGGATAGCACCGACTATTAAAAAAATGAGGATTTGAATCTGAGTTTTATATAATCTGTATCACCCATCCTTAAAAAGCTTTGCGAAATATGAGCACACTAAAATCGAAAATTAGAGAGAACGAATACGCACCAAGGTGCATAGAACTCGACGAGAGCTGCGCGATCCTGGCCGACCTCCTTCTCGAAGTTGTCTTCGGTCAAAATGACGACGTCGTCGGCGTAGGCCGCTGAAAAAAACAGAGCTACGATTGCTAATGCTGAGCATATCCGCGATCTCGACATTTTCTGTTGATTGTCGCCCGTGAATTGGCCGGAGTCTCGTCTAATATCAGGTATTCCTTGAGACTAGAAACTGATCTACGCCGAGTATATGAAGAGGATTGATCGGGTGACATTTCAAACTTGATGACATGATTTGACCAACTAAGCACCTACACGTGGACAGGGCAATTGGATCACACTTGGTCTTGCAATTTTAAGCCTAGTAACATTTTTAAAGGAAAAAGATAATGATAATTACATATACTTGTGTAATATATATCTTCCCATTTGAAAGTAGGTAAGATTAAGAATAATAAAAAGAATATAAATTATTGAGAATATGATGGAAGATAATGAAATACTGTATTTGAATGTAGGATAAATAAATAAATAAAATAGTTGTAATAGTGTATTATTTTCAAAATTATTGAGGGTGTGATGGGAAGATTTAGAAATGAGAAGGTATAAATGTTACGGACGAAAAAAGAAACTGAAAAGATATGAACGTTATAGAGAAAGTACATGATAAAAATAAATATTGTTAATAAAAATGTGACAGCTTGTGCACAATAATTATAGTAGTGGATAGTTTATATTCAACTTTTGCATTTAAATAACAATGATATGATGCCTCTTTCAAAAAAACAATGACATGATGCCTAGCTTTAGTTATATCTTTGTACATGAATTTTATTCATTAATATTTATGGAAAAAAACTTTTTTATAAAAAGATTAAATTGACTTTTCAATTATCACAAAATATCACATTAACTCATCCACTAATAGAAGCATTGCTTTGTAAACACTAAACACACCCTATATGACCGATTTACCGGAAGTAACCCTCTACACTGAGTTAAATGCAAATTTGACTTTTTTTTAGATAATTCTCAATGTTGGAGTAAAACATGATAAAAAGGTAAAAAAAAAAATAGGAGTAGTTATACTACATTTCCAAGATATGATTTTTTTTTTGTGCATGCAAAAAATTACCCTTGCCACTACCCACTACTACAGTACTGCCGTCGTTGGCCATTGGAGCTCCAATGATCCCAAAAGAATCTAGATTTCCGCCGCTGCCGTCTGCCGCCACAAGAGCTCTAGCGGCCGAAAAAAATCCAAATTTTTTCTGGCGTTGGTCTATCTGTCGCCGCAACCTCCTCCACCACCACCATCAGACGCCAAGACACCTACCCAAAGGAACTAGAGAGGCAATTCATTATATAACTTGGATTATAAGTATTGATTTGGAGGCATCGGCTAACAGGTGAAAGGGCTCGTCGGAGATTGTCTTGCTCGACCGATTAGGAAGGGCCAATTTGGGGCGACTGGGATGCGAACAGTATAAGAATATGCGAACATTTGAGGTTCTTCGTCTCTGCTTGGTGAAGGTCAGAGTGAGTTCATCGGAGGAAGGTGCCACAGATACTTGGGTGAGGATCTTGTGCAATGGGAGCTGTCAGTGGCTTCAATGTGGTCGTCGACCTGTGGCGGCTAGGGTTGTGAGGTCTAATAGTCCGATGCTTACTTTGGCTATTTCGGCACTGTTGGTGTTTGTGATGAATGCTACACCAGCTATGTTTGATCCAAGCGAAACACTGGCGGTTTGGCGCCCGATGAAAGGGGCGAATCTGAACTCTAGTCAAGTGGTTGAGGGATTGGCGCGAGTGATTTGGTCGCCTCAGGTGGTGGAGGAAGAAGACGGTATGTGGATGTTTCGTCCCCCTCCTGAACCGCCGCCACAGAGGATCTGCGTGACTAGGGTATGGAAGACGTCGTCTAAAGTATGGATTTCGTTGTTTTACCAGCTGATATTGAGACAGATCGCCCCCCTCCTGAACCACCTTCGTTTCACGAAGATGTGATCGCATTGAGTTCTTTTTTCCGATGGCTGGTGAAACCGGAACAAATTCTACGCTTGGCTCCTTTTCGGTGGCTGGACAAACCGAAATGTTCAATAATTTATTTAAGAAATATTGTGATCGTAGCAGCCTAACAGGAGCAATCGTTCTGCGGTAGAGCCTACTTCTTTGCAGGATTAGCGATTTGGTGTTTTTTATTTGAATCGTCTGTTTCTATGTTTCATCTCATTGTAACCTTGAATTACATGATTGTGATTGTTCTTGTTATTATCTTTATAGTAATACTAGTAATAATTAAGTTAATTCCTTTCAAAAAAGAATTATCAATTGGACGTAATGATTGAAGAGTCTCCGAGAATAACCCTATATTAAACACATTCTTGAAACTTTCAATTTAAATACTCAAAAACACTTATACTATATACGTTCCACTAACATTGGGACATTAGCAATTGGTGCGATTACTAAGAAAAATGAGTCACTTATATGATTGACATGAATTGATAAAATAAGAATAACTTAAAACCGCAATAACTTTATCAAATTTGGTATACGACTAGAATAATAATAATGAGACGGAAGGATTATAATTTTATGGCCCCTTCAATGTAGTAAGCTGTGAGCCAAAACCGCACTCACCTATACACAAAGCCTGCTCATAAAATTGGGAAAAAAATTTGTAAAACAGAGAGATTATTAAGCAACAATTACAATCATAATTCACAATCAATTGACATGTGACAGGGAGCGTATACCATACAACCGGCTGTACGGCTGGCACCGTACAGTCGGTGGCAGTTTTGTAATTTTCATGAAGTTCGTGGTTTCTCGTAAATGAGCATTGATGTAATTTTGATGAGCATCGAGCCTGTTCTTCTGAGTATTAAAAGCCTAACAATGAGCACCAGTGATCTCTGCTTCATATTTTCTAATTCGGTTTCTTTTTATGATTTTTTCATTTATAAAAATTAAAAATCTTAAATTATGTTTATAATTAATTTCAATATGTGAATCTAATGTAGTATGATACGTTTGATATGTGCATCATTTTAAAATGAGCATAAAACAGTACCAAATGAGCATACATAATTTATAAAATGAGTATTAAAAAAATTCAAAACTTTATTTGTGTATGCTCATTGATTTTGGGCGTATATTTGATATGTGCATCATTTTAAAATGAGCATAAAACAATACCAAATGAGCATACATAATTTACAAAATGTGTATCAAAATATTAAAAACTCATTTTTGTGTGTTCATTCATTTTGGGCATAATACTCATTTGAATTTAACTTAAAACTCATTTTGAAATATGCATGAATATGACATTTTAAAAAGAGTATTGTACTAATATCAAATGAGTATACATAAATTACGAAATGAGCGTTCAAAAAACTCATTTGAGTATGCTCATTCATTTTGGGTGTTATACTCATTTCAATTTTACATGAAACTCATTTTCAATGTGTTCAATATTAGTTTGTGTGAGTTCATTTCTTTTAGGCGTATACTCATTTCTTTTAGGCTCATTTAAAATCACCACCATGCTCAAACTTTTATTTGCGTATGCTCATATCTTTAGAATTACGTACAACCTAGGTTATCCCTGACCCAAAATCCACCAAACTAAAATAATCAGTGTGAGAAAAAGGAAAAGAAAGGAACATAACGTGCGAAGTTAAGGACGAAGCTGAAGGAGAGCTGCTGAAGGGTTGCGGTTGTCGAAAAAGGGAGAGGTGCTAGTAGGCGGCGAGCAACGGAGCAAGGATGATCGGCCATGGAAGCCTGCGATGGAAGCCCTGCGATGACGGAAGCCTGCGATGGAAGCCCTGCGATGACGGAAGTCTGCGATGGAAGCCCTGCCATGACGGAAGTCTGCGATGGAAGCCTGCAATTCGCAAACTAAAAGTCCGGCTGTACCGTGCGCACGGTACAGCCGGCTGTACCATATAATTTGCGGTGACATGCTATTGTAGCAAACAATACAATATGGAGAAAGTAATAAACAACAATAATAATAATAAAGAAAAATAAAAACCAAAATAGGTTAAACAAAGATAAAAATGATAGATATAATAAAAGGCTAAATAATGGAAGACGTAATAAAATAATTTAGAAAATACATACGGAGTAAGAAACAAAATAATATCGGGCTTCACTAACATTACTAGACCTTGCACCACTATTTCGGATTAGTTGGGGAAACATGATAGCCTTTCTCTTTAGTCATAATAATAACAATAACCATAATATATAATAACGAGTAGTCTTCATGTCAGGCCGGCCTGACGGGATGCTCCGTCCGGCCGAGGGCATTTCGGGTACTTCCCGGTGGAATTTTTAGATGAAATTTTTTGGGCATGTTCTTCATGAAGTCTAGTTTCTCCATACCAAATTTCAGCTAAAAATTCAATCGGGAAGGCATTCAAATAATTTCTTGAAGTTAACTGGGCAGTTCATACATATAAATTGGCCAGTTAACTTCAAGAAATTATTTGAGTGCCTTCTCGGTTGAATTTTTAGCTGAAATTTGGTATGGATAAACTAGACTTCATGAAGAACATGCTCAAAAAATTTCATAAAAAATCCCACCAAGAAGTGCCCAAATGCCCTCGGCCGGAAGGTGGTTCTCGTCAGGCCGGCCGGACATGAAGATTTGTCTATAATAACATCGATAGTGATAACTGATAATAACTATTATTATTACTATTAGCGTTAGTATGTCTATCCTTATAAGAAGGAAAACAGTAAAGAGGACCAACTTCTAGAAATAAAATGTGTCAATCGAACTAAAAAATTAGAGAGACAAGGTGCATGGCCTCATTGATTATCCATGAATGAAATTTGTCATAATATTTATAGGCAGGAGGAAATAATTGAACACCAATTGCGGCATCTGTATGGGGAAAATCGAAGAAATAATTACTGTAAGAAAATGGACAGGTAAAATGTGAGTACGACTCGCATGAAAATGGATGTGCACAAGTGTCAGTGCACAAGTGTCAATGTGAGGAAGACATGCAGGGAAATGCCGGCGCGAAAGTGTTGAATGTGAAGAAAGGGCTTGAAGGACAACACGAAGCAGATGGAGATTAGACCGTTGTTAGGATTGTTCACCATATTCCTTGCAGATAAATTTAAACAACACATGATAACCTTGTGTGTATTATAAGATCAAAACGTTCCCAATCTCTGGAGATTATATGAAAACTTCACTTGGCTGGCCCTCAAGACTCCAGTTAGCGAAACTGATGTGTATAGCCTCCATACCAAGGCATAGAAGGTACAGCAGCCTGTATAACAAAAGAATGCATGGCTTAGCATTTACCAGACCACAAAAATTTCAGTCCAATTAAAAACATCCTAAAAATAGTTTTCTTCTTACAACAAGAATATTGTGTGAAGGCTCTGTTCGGCATCATAACATTTTGTGTCCTGTTTTTTATAAGTAAAACAAAACAATAAAAAACAACAAAAGTGGTTTTCAAATGTTTGTTAGTAATTTTAAAAAGGGTATGATAAGTATGACTATGAGTATAGTTATTTTTGCTTTATTATAAAAGCTATTTGTACATCCTCCAATAAAGTCATTAAACCAAGAACTGAAAATTGGTAATGATGCCAAACAGGCTCCAAGAAAATGGTTGACACACTTGCCAACTCCCCCATTCTGTCCACCTTTTTCTGACGTGTAGTATTGTAGCTCAAATTTTTGCCACATGGTTGGGTATATATACTACACTTTTATGAAGCACAAAACAATATGTAGGAGAAATGGAGAATAGAAATTCAAACTAAATGTAGTTAATTTCGAACATCCACAAACATGTTTTCAAATTACTAATGACTGTACGAGATGGTTGTAGTTGTTAAAGGGTCTCACCTCTCTAAATTGATAAGGAGATGTGCGAGCATCAGGCACAATGTCAGGTCTGCTGCTACTGCAAGGATGGAGTTGCTGATGAACCAACCCTGAACCAATTCCTAAGTTAACCGCTCCTTGTAACAACAATCCGCTAAAGGGTCTGTGAGCAGATGTAGAAGGTTGGTTTTGAAACGGTTGCATACTAAAATGGCTGGATGCTTCAGCAAAAGCATTCCTACTTTGCGATAAAGCGGAGATACTACTACCCTGCAACCTTCTTCCATGAAGGAAGGAAACATGGGTTTGAGGAGCTAACCCTGTAATCTGAGAGCCAAAAAGATAATTCCCTGTGACACCAGCTGGAACCCCAGTAGTTCTATTGTCACCCCCCTGTCTCATTCTGTCATTGAGGATGAGGTGTATTTGGCGTTGTATCCTTCTCCTGTCCGAAACAGTTGCGGCAGTTCCTGATGGTGGGAAAGCAGTTCTGGGAGATGGAACATTAAAAACTTCCTGGTTTAATGGAGTCTCAGGTATGTACATCTCATTTAAATCAAAAGAAGACTCTCTCACATTTGGCATGTGGAGGGGTGTAGGTGATCTGACAGAGAAGCTGCTTGTTCTACTCTCAGAAGGAAGATTCAAATTTTGTTGGTTCAGAGAATCAAGAGCAGTTGTTGGTCTACAGACCTCACAGTACCAATTCCCTTCAGGTACTTCATGCCCAAGACCAACACAATAAGTATGTGCAGATGAATCACAGAGATCGCAGAGAAGCATTAGAGCATCATCCCCACCTTGTTGACATTCAGTACAAATGACATTTTCATATGGATCAAGATACCCCCTAAGTTCCTCTTCAGATGGTTGATATACCTATAAATAACCAACCACACAGGTTAAAAGAATAAAAAAATACTAAAAAATTGCAGCTCAAATAGTTGGAAGAAAAAAAACTGACCAAACTACCTGATCACGTTCAGAGACTTGAATAACTACAGTCCTTGAATCTAAACAAGTATTTGATTTTGCAGGCTTGCTGATCGTGACAAATCTTTGCTTGCAGAGGGGGCAACGAGACTCAACCTTTGACCACTCCGTGATGCAAGCGAAGCAGAAGTAGTGGTTGCAACAATTCAAAGTTCCTCGAACTCTTCTTTTACCTTCTTCAGACAAACAAATTCCACAAACCTGCTTTCCTGCTTCAGTCTTCCAATCTTCTACCTTCGCCTTATCTTTTCTTCTTGACCGCTTCTTTTGAAGCTGTGCCCTTTCTTGTTCCAATAAATCCTTTGGGACAACTGGACACCTCCAACTAGAAGTCAAGCCACCACAAAATTCACCAGCTTCTCTAACTTGTTCTCTCTCTTCTTCAGAGATACTGTACACATAGTCCAAGGGCCCAGAATTTCTAGAATCCGAATCTGAATGTACAATTAGCTTCTTACTCCTCTCTTCATTAGTGATCTTATCCGTTTCTTTTTCAGAGGTAATACTATTTAACTTCACATCTTCATCAACTCTTCCTCTCTTCTTCACTCCGCATTTACTTCTCCTTTTCCCCCTTGTGATCTTCATTGAGACTTCAGAGGTAGTAGTGTTACACTGTTTCCCTTTAGCAATGCCCTTGTCTAGACATGTCCGGTGGAGCTTCCTACTCCTTCTCATCATGGACATACCATCTTCTTCTTCATCAAAGTCATCAACCTCAACTAGAGTGGAGTAATATTCATCATCATCATATTCTTGTCCTTTGGAAATGCCTCTTTGCAACCGCGTCTCGCTCTCCGATGGAAAGAGAAACTCTTCTTCTTCTTCATATACACCATCAACTTCATCAACCTCATTTGGTTTAAATTCCTCGTCACCGTCATCATCCTCTTCACTTTTGGCAATTCCCTTATGTAATCGTCTCTTTCTCAACTTCTTGCTGCTTTTGATCACAGGAAACACATCTTCCTCATCATATGCACCATCAACCTCATCTATTGTGAATTCTTCATCAGCAGCCTCATCGTAATCATCATCATCATCATCTTCTTCTTCTTCTTCTTCTTCTTTCATATTGGGAATGCACTTGCGCAATCGCAGCTTACCAGACTTTTTGTTTGTCATAGGCAGTGCTTCTTCTTCTTCTTCTTCTTCTTCTTCTTCAGCATCTGTACCATCAACATCATCTGGTGTGTATTCAGTGTCATCATCTTTGGAAATGACACTGTGCAGACGTGTCCGGCACAACATTTTATTCCCATTTGTTATGGTCAACTCAGCTTCATCATGTACACCAAGAACCTCATTTGGTTTAAAGTCCTCATCATTTTCGTCATCATTGTCATCGTCTTCAGCATCAACTTCTCTGTATGAAACTCTTTTCCTTTTTCTAGGTCTTACAGATCTCTCTTTCTTTGTCCTTGATGCTCTTTGTCTAACTGCATTCCTCGCCTTCTTCCTCTTCGCCACTTTCTCTTTTTTAACATCTGTGTATGTACCTACACACTCCTCAGACTCATCTTCGATGAAAGAGGAGTATTCATCCTCTGATTCATCACACTCATTTTCATCAATCATGTAATCCTCATCAGACTGATCAGAATCTATACACTTAGATCGTGCCTTCTTCCTACCATTGCTTTGCCTGGCCATCTGACCATGCAATCATGCATCTATCAGAGCAGATACCACAGCTTTTGCAGGATCATATCATAATGTAGCCCATTTGTCTTGTCTTGGTATATGAAAGGGGGTGAAAAGAAACAATTAAACTTGACAAGAACAAGCACTTTATATGGTCATTTGTCAAAAAGGTGGGAGGGAATGCCATCCAGAAGCATCCAGGTTTTTTAAGTCCTGTGTCTGGAACTCATAAATACGGGGAAATATATAGTAAGAATAGAGAGAACTAGAGGATTTCAATTGACAGGGATAACTTCTGGAAGTCACAATTGATCAGAAATTATAATTGGCATATGATATTATTCCAACAAATACCTTTTCCTAAACAAATTCAAAATATCTGGGCTCAGGTACTATATGCCAAATAATCTTTTTAAATAAAAACCTATATTTAACACAGATATAGGTCTTATCATTTTTCACTTCAAACAACTGCCTCAGTGAAGCCACAATCTATCTATGTGGTTAAAGAAATTGAAAGTTCAGATCATAAAATTTACTGCCTTGTGGTGCTACACTAAAATTCATCCCTCCACACTATCATTTAAAAGGGAGCAATCAAGTATGTGAAGAAAAAACTTCTACCATTCAAAAGTAATCCAAGATCGAGATGCTTCTCAACAGATGATCAACTTCAACAATAAGTCAATAGCGCTAAATTCCTGATCGTACAAAGCCAATCAATTGAACAAAGGTCGAGCTAATTTTAAAGCGAGCGGAATAAAAGAAACCAACATACTATAATCCCCGTATATAACAGCTGTTCAGCAGAAGAAATTGAAGTTCAGACTAATCTTTCCAAATGAGAAAGGTACCTGAGAAAGAAAATCCCCAACATAGAAATTAACAGCTCAATTATAGACATTCATACAAACACGTATGCATATACATCTCTCGGCGATGTGGTGAAATCCGGAGTGAAAGCCCCTTGGAATACAGTATACATTTCTATTGATGAATTCAGGAAAGAAATGATGTGTTATATGATACACATAACAATATGTACGCATAGAATGTTTGTATGTATAGACGCGTTTAGGAAGCGTCTTAAATGGGAAGAGGCGTTGGTTTTCTTCTATTCTATAAAGAAAAAGAAAGCAATAAACTAGTACACAAATTGTATCTTTGGACTTTTATCTTTGTGAGGTGGAGTTACTAGTCTAGTAGTCTTTAATCCAATGTCACAAGAAATTGTCCTAAAGAGAATAAATAAGAGTAAAATTAATGGAGAATTGCATATGTACACAAAAATTAGTACACAAATTGTACACGACTCTCCTAATCGCATGTATATACAAGCAATTCGTTTTAAAAAAGGCAATATTTTATGCCAAAATGCATGCGTACAGGGACGGAACTACGTATTGGGTGAGGGGGGCCATTGCCCCTCCCAATTTTTTATTTTTTAAATAAAAATATTACTATTACAAAAAATTGCCCCCCCCCCCATAAAATTAAGGAAGACTCTAGTACTATCAAATTATATGGCTTTTTAAGAATACTTATCCTTGGCCTATTATCATTATATGAAAACTAATAATACATATTATTAGATGTCCTATTAAATTATACTCCGTATATAATACTCCGTAATACATATTATATACTACATAATACTCCCTCCGTCCCTTAAAACTTTACCAACTTTTCTTTTTAGATATCCCATTAACTTTGTCACTTTCCCCTTTAAGTAACAAATTTGTGGTTCCTGTTAATACTCTCTCATCTGCACAAACCTCAACTACACAACTTTTACTTTATTAATCCTGGTGCCGATCAAACTTGACAAAGTTTTATAGGACGGAGGGAGTACTTCATAAGTATATTACTGCAAGTACAAGTGGAAAACATACTTGTGCAATATTTTTAATGTAAGTGATTAATTTTAGACTAAAGGGTCAAATAGATACATGAACTAACTTAAAGTGTTCAATTAATCCCTTATATAGGAGGTTCTGTCCGGCCGTCGCCAATTGGGGCGGTTCCCGGTGGAATTTTTTGATGAAATTTTTTGAGCATTTTCTTCATTAAGTCTAGTTTACCCATACCAAATTTCAGTTAAAAATTCAATTGGGAAGGCAGTCAAATGAGTTTTTGAAGATAACTGCGCAGTTAAACAGCGCAGTACATTTCGGAAAATCATTTGATTGCCTTCCCGATTTTATTCTTAGCTGAAATTTGATATGGGTAAACTACGAAGATGCTCAAAAACTTTCATCAAAAAGTTCAACCGGGAACCTCCCCAATTGGCGATGGCCGGGCTGAACCTCTTATATAAGGGGCTAATTGAACACTTTAAGTTAGTTCATGTACCTATTTGATCCTTTATTTCAAACACTTTAGCCCCTTATTTTATGTTTATTTGTTTTGTTTCTCTAATTTCAAATACATTCATGGTTTACTTAAAAATTGTGTACTAGATAAAAATATTTTATTAATGAGTAAATAAAATATCAGTATTTTATTCCTATTTTGAGGGGGGAAATTGCTCATATTTAAAGTAAATCGCCCTTTAATTACTTATATTATTGAGAAATTTATGGCCTCTACCATATTTATTCTTTCATATGTCAAACAAAACTTGCACATTATTATATTTAATACGGAATAGTATTTATATGGTTCACATTTACTTATATTTTAATTATACTCTAGATTAGTATCAATAACATAATTCTAATTTTCTACTTCATTTGTCACAAATTAATTTGCAATTTGCGGGTTTTAAGATTGACTGGTGATAAAATAAAATTATCCATGTGAATAGTTACACTTAAAAAGTTATACTTCGTATGTTGAAACTACATCGAGAGTTCTCTAAAGCCGTGAAATCTAAATTCGAACATAGTAAAAATGGATGTGTTAAATAAGTAAATTAAATTAAATTGTGTTAATCAAGAAAAATGTGAATCATTTTGGGGCAAATTAATTATCACTTTCACATACTTCAATTATTATACAAGTAATATACTCCCTTCCTCTCTTAAAATTTTGTCAACTTTTCATTTTTTGTTGTCCCACTAATTTTGTCATTTTCTCTTTTAAGTAAAGAATTTGTGGTTTCATTTATTTCTCTCTCTTCTGCACAAATCTCAATTGTACGGTTTTTACTTAATTAATCCTCTGCTGGCTAAACTTGACCAAGTTTAAGGGACGGAGTGATTAATACAGAGTGACAACCTATTAGTAGCTAACTTTTTACTGAAGATTATTTTCTAACTTGCCAATATTCAACTGGTTAATATGGAAAAGAGATAAAGTTTGAGTAATTTTTTGAAATAATTACATAAATATGACAAAAATAAAGATGATTTACAAAAATATGATTAGTTACTAGAGTAGTAATGAAATCATAGTAATTCATGTTCAAGTTTTGAACTTAAGTTACTACAACACTATGTTGTAGTAATGAATAGTCATATTTATGTAAATAACTTTTATTTTAGTAATATTCTTATAAAAAACCCTAATTTTTTTGCTTTTCATGGCTTATATATACAAAGTATTATTTGATATCGAAACTGTCAAATAATACACCCTTCACCGTACCCCTAGAATTTTGTCATGTTTGATTGACATGAATAATAATAAAATAAAATTGTGTGGGTGAAACCTATGTAAAATAGAGAGAAATAACAAAAACCGCAAATTAATTGATTAAAAGATAAAGTGATAAAGTTTTTAGGACAACCAACAAAGGAAAAATGGCAAAACTATAAGGGGCGAATGAAGTATATTCTTACTCTTTCCCATGCTCAAGTGACATTGTACCTTTTGTTAAAGAAAACTTCGATGCACGAACCAATGACTATGAAGCACGAAAATACATGATTCTAGACGTTCAAGGTTCCTATGACTCATATCTCTGTTAGGTCCGACATACCTAAAAATACATATTAATACGTTTTTGGACCATGTCATACAACAAGAACCAACTTTATTCCCAAAGATTTTGAAGTCGGCTAACATGAATCGATCCGCGATATCAGTGCCAAATAGAAAAGAAAGATAAACAAAATAAAAATATAAGTTAAGATATAAAAGGATAAAATTAAAATATATATAGGATAAAGGAACATAATGTGTGTCTATCTTGTGCTACCCTACTAATTCAAAATTAAAATTGTAAAAATAAAATAAAATTTCATATATAAAAAAAGGACATATAAATGTATTGAAGGATAATTGTTGATTATTTTTTTCTAAGAATATAAAAATGTAAACCATTAAGCATCATTTGTGAATTTCCTATTTTTTTAATCCTGGAGTTAGTCCATCAGTTGTGGGCTCTGTTCTAAAAATCGTTCTAGGCGCCCGACTAGTCCCCGCCTAGGCGCTAGGCGGTGGTCGGGCACCCCGATTTTCGTCTAGGCGCTCCGACTAATTGGTTTGCCGTCTAGCTGAATTAGTCGGCCTCTTATATGCCTAGTTGCCCGCCTAGAGCGCTTAAATGGCCGTCTAGGCCGTCTAGATTCGCCGGACATTACTTTACTTTTAAATTTTAATTTTTCAAGCGATATACACACTTTAACTTTAGTCATGGATATAAAGAAATGAAGTTGTAAATTATGATAAAACTATACATGTTTGTATATGTACCTAAATTTTATCATTATTTATAGGGAAAAGGTGCAAATAGGCCCGTGTACTAACAAAAAAAGATCAAATAAGCCCTTATTTAGGAGGCTCTGTTCGGACGTCGCCATTTGGAGTGGTTCCCGGTGGAATTTTTTGATGAATTTTTTTGAGAATCTTATTCATCAAGTCTAGTTTACTCATACCAAATTTCACCTAAAACTTCAATCGGGAAGGCATTCAAATGAATTTTTGAAAATAACTGCGCAGTTAGAAGCACAGTTATATTCAAGAATTCATTTGAATACCTTCCCGATTGAAGTTTTAGCTGAAATTTGGTATGAGCAAACTAGACTTGATGAATAAGATGCTCAAAAAAATTCATCAAAAAATTCCACCTGGAACCACCCCAAATGACGACGGCCGGACAGAACTTCCTAAATAAGGGCTTATTTGACCTTTTTTTATTAGTACATGGGCCTATTTGCACTTTTTCCCTTATATATATTTATAACATAATGAAGTTAAGTGATTAGTTATCATATACTACGTATGATTAAATGTGATAATTATATCTTTCATGTTTGTTAATGTATATGTATATATGTATTTTATACACACAAAAATACAATATTCCTTAATCATATTTATGCAAAAATATAGATAAAAATGCAATTTTTATGTCTCCGACTAGTCACCGACTAGACGCACGCCTAGCCGCCTAGGCGCTGGACTGGCGCCCGACTAGCGCCTAGCGCCTTTTTGAACATTGGTTGTGAGGTAAGGGCCGGGGAACACCTTACCAATCAATAAAAACAAGAACAAGGTGGGGGGGGGGGGGGCTAAAGCTAATACCTACCCGAATTAACAATGTACGGATAACTAGTTGTGTCAAACTTGATAATGCCTACGAACATACTATAAATGTCCGTATGACGATAATCAAAAGTGTCAAAATATTTGCAATGAAACTAGCTACTCGATTACATGATTTTTTAATATGAGTAAAACTAAGATTGTTATTCTGAAACACTTCTTTAAAACTTCCAAGTTGGCAATCGCTTCCACCTCGGTCGCATCATTCCGTTAAGCGTTTTAGTATATCTGTCTATTCAACTTGTAATAGGAATTTTTAACTTTAACATTCTATAATATATTACTTTAACATAGAAATGTTTAGTGACAATTATCCTTTAAATAATTTATTTCTACACATAAATTAAAGTATCTGTGTATATTTGCATATATTATCAAATCCGTTTTCGAGTATCCCCATATCTCTGTGTCTCTTGCCCGTGCAGCATAGGCCAACGAGAGGGATTCCCTCTAGTAGTTATTCTAAAGAAGTTGTCTAAGCTGTGTCCCCAAATTACATCAATCTTTTTTACTTCTCTATTTCTTTGTCTGCTTTTTCTCTTATTCATCTAATTTCTTCCTCTTCCACTTATTTAACTATTGTTTAAGGAAATATATGTGAATTCATATGTGAAGGTAAGAAATTTTATTTGAAGCAAAATTTGATATTGTTAATCGTATTTATT